CAGTCAATAAAAATTATAGGAATTAATTCCATATGAAATTCTACATTTTTCATTAAAAATTCGAAATTGCACTAAAAATTCACCCGTGGGGCCCACGTCTCAGAACCCGACAAAAATTATGGAATATGAAACCTCATCCAACCACGAGTCCATTCATACCAATTTTACTAAAATCCGACATCAACTCGACCCTCAAATCTTCAAATTAAACTAAGAGGGGTTTCAAAATTTTCCCAACTAAAATCACCAATTAAATGCCAAAACTAGAAATAGATTCGGGTAATCTAACCAAAATTAAGTTAATAACACTTACCCCGTTGTTTTCTCTGAAAATCTCCCGAAAATCGCCTCTTCCCGAGCTCCAATTCGCTAAAAATGGAAAATGGGACAATGTCCAGAAAAATTTCGGGTACTGTTCACGCGTTTTTCACGGCACGATACTGTTCACGGTACTATACGGCACCGTTCACGGGGTACTGTAAACAATACTGTTCACGGGGTACTATTTCTGCAATTTTTCTGTTTCCTAAGTCCGAAATCACTCTGAGACACCTCCGAAACACTCCCGAGCCCTCGGGGCTCCTAACCAAACACATGCACTAACTCAACAACATCCTACAAACTTAACCGTGCGATCAAATCGCCAAACTAACATCATATACCACGAATTAAGCTTTAAAATCCAAGAATTCTTTCAAATTTTCTTAAAACATCAAATTTTTCATTTTGAGTCCGAAATACGTCAAACGACGTCCGTTTTCAACCAAACTTTATAGAAAGTGCTTAAACCATTTATAAGACCTGTACCAGGCACCGGAACCAAAATACGGGCCCGATACCATCACTTTCTAATCAAATTTCATTTCCATTTTCCTTAAATATTTTCAGAAAACAATTTTTACTCAAAAATTCATTTCTCGGGCCTGGGACCTCGGAATTCGATTCCGGACATACGCCCAAGTTCCATATTTTCCTACGGACCCCCTGGGACCGTCAAATCACGGGTCTGGGTTCGTTTATTCAAAATGTTGACCAAAGTCAAAGTTATTAATTTTAATATCAAAACTTAGCAAATTTTCACAGAATTTCATATTTGAGCTTCCGGCTATGCGCCGGGACTGCGCACGCAAATCGAGGCAACTATAAATGAGGTTTTCAAGGCCTCAGAAGCTCGGAATGGATAAGAAAACAGGTGATGACCCCTTTGGGGCCGTCATAGTTGCGTGGGGTAATCCTGTAGGCTAACCAACCTAGGACCCCTCTTTCCCAATTCCTGATGTTTAAACTTTACTTTTCTCTATATATGCAACTTGTTCAAGTCTTTTCCTTTTGTCTCATTAATTGAGTCATACAATGTCCAAAACATGCCTTTATTTGCAAGTATGTGTTTAAACTATTTATTTGATAAAAAGACTAATTCAAATAAGTATAAGTTCATCTGGGACCCACCGTTGTAGACCGAAAGGGGTGCCTAACACCTTCCCGGGACCAAAATTCAAATTCAATAACAACAAAGTCAACCTATGGTCAAACCTAGAAAATTTAAAAACCTTTAATTTACTAGCTTTCTTCAAGCTATTGATAGAATTATTAAGAATTTTATCTAGGGAACCACGGATAGCAAAAAAAAGCTACATCTTCTCAAATATGACACTGTCATAATGGGTAAATCCAATAGGGGGTTAGGAGTCAAAAAAGCCCGTTCCTAAAATAAAGTACTTCTAGCAAGTCTTGCTTGGAGACTATTAAACTACACTCATTCCCCCTGGGCTAACCTTCTTATAACTAAGTACATCAACAACTCTCCTAAGAACACTTCTTTTATATGGAAGAGTCTAAAGATTGGTTGGGACATTTGCTCTAAAGGTATGACCTAGACAATTGGTGACAACTCTTCTCTTGATATTTGGAACTGTCGATGGATTCCCAATTGTCAACCACTCCGCAAACTTCTAGTAGGGACTCTAAATAACTCAGACCTAATTCTCACACCCAAAGACCTCCATCAAAATAATACTTGGGTTCTTAATAAAATTTCCTTCGACATTCCTCGTACAATAACTGATAAAATTAATTCTATTATTATTTCTTCCATTAGCCACGCAGATAGGATTTACTGGGGAGAAGCCACTAATGGTTCCTTCACTACCAAATCATGCTATAAGATCATCAACGAACCTTGTAGTGATCAAAAGCACATAGATAAAACTTTGACTGGATTTGGACCCTTAATTGTCCTAACAAAATAAAGTTCTTTCTATGGCTTTGTTACCGTGAGAGAATTCCGTGTAGAAAATATTTACAATACATTGGCATTAATATAGACTCAACTTGCACATGTTGTCGTAAGGGGGAAGAAGATATCGAACACATTTTTCTACGCTGTATTTTGGCTAAGAATTTTTGGCACTCACTGTTACGTCAGCCACCACATTTTTTCATAAACAATCAAAATGATCACTGGTTACTCTACCTAAAAAATTTGAACCCCCTTGATTTTAACCTACTCACAATGCCCAGTATACTAAACTGGGAAGACCTCTTTCCATTCATCATATGGAACCTTTGGCTAAATAAAAATAGTAACAACATTAATAATACCTCTCACCCTTTATCAATTTCAACAATTGTGAAACATGCCCTAGAATATAAGCTCTTCACTGATAGGGAAAATAACACTTCAAGAAGAATTCCCGTATGTATTAAATGGAACATGCACCTTCAATAGGATGGTTCAAACTTAATGTTGATGGTACTTTTTGAAGTGCTACACCAATCTCAGGGATAGACGGGCTCATCAGAGATGTTGATTCAAAATGGCTTCTTGGATTCATAAAGTCAATACACGCAGATTCTCCTATTCATGCAGAACTCTAAGCAATCCACCAAGGATTAATCTTTGCAACAGTTAGGGGTGTACATGGACCGGGTTGGTTCGATTTTTATCAAAAACGAACCAAACCAACTATATCGGTTTGGTTTTGTCGGGTTTTCGGGTTTTTTTGTTACATGAATATTATTTCAATTTTACTTTGTTAAAGTTATAGATAAAACTTTGATAAGTGAATATATGTTTAGTAAATATGAAAAAAAATTGACAAACATATGATCTATTAAAATATTCTAATGGGAGAATTTTTTTAGTAACACATGATAGTTATTATCTTAGTCGTCTAACAATAATTTTCGTTAATTTACGCTTTCAAGGTTAATACATGAGAGTGTCCCAAATATTTCTACATTTTCTAAAGAAAATTCACTATAAAGTCTTAAAAATATAAATAAATTTTATATATTTATATGTCGGTTTGTTCGGATTTTTTTTACTCAATACCAAACCAAGTTAAACCAAACCTAGTCGGATTTTTTTAATCGATTTGGTTTGATTTTTCGATTTGGTGCGATTTTCCCGTTCGGTTTGAACACCCCTAGCAGCAACACACAATTTCACTCCACTAAAAGTGGAAACAGACTCCACAAATGTTATACATTACCTCGAAAAAGGATATATAACTTACAATAATATTAATTTTGATTGTAGATGGCTAATGGTCAAAATGGGGCAAGTGGTTCTCAGGCATAGCTGGAAGGGAATGCAATCAAATGGAAAAGAAAGGATCAAGATAGTCTACTATAAATAATCTTTTGTATTATAATATTTTACCTATTTTTGTCGAGTCCATGATGCTGGAGGACAAAAAAGATGTTGTAGTAAGTAATCTATCATTTAATGTTTGTAACAGCCTAGCTGAACTAAGGAATATTGATGCCATGAAGGGCATATGTGGAAGTGTCAACAAGGCTTGTAATAGCACTGCACTACTTTAGTTTTTTATAAATAAAATGCTCATATTCTCAAAAAAAAAAAAAAGTGACAAAAGAAAAAGTCAAAAGTCAAAAGTCAAAGCTAGGAAACAGGAAGCTACCGTGAGACGCTCCACATGGAATGACCTGCCAACAAAAGGTTACAACAACACACTCACCAACTTCTCCATATTAGTTCTAGTGACACATCGATCCACCAACTCCTCTGCCAAATTTTCTCATGTATTTAATCATTAAAAACTATTTATAGCTTCTAGCTTTTTACATAATTTTTTAAAGCTTTTAGCCTAGCAAAAAAGAGTGTGTGTGCCGCAAACTTAGAGAGAGGAGCACTGCTTTGAGTACTTCAAAAAATGGCTACCAAGTTGTGGGCTTCAAGGGCTGCTTCATACCTCAGGGTATCAACGTTTCACCGAGCATTTGCTACTGGTAATATATATGGACATAGATTCACGTTTGTATATAACATTTTTATCATGTTTTCTCTTGTTTTGTTGCGGGCTGTATGAATGTGAATCATGAATTTGTTATACAAGATTTTTCTTGATCTGCCATCCTGTTGATTAAAGATCCGATTTTGGAAATGGGTTGTGCTTATTTTGTCTATTTGGATCAATAGAAGTATTATGGACAGTTTTTAAAAAAAAAATGTTTTCTTGATTTTACAGTCTGTCACCTTTGTCATGTGAATATTATCAAGATCGTGTTGAAGGGCAAATGATGTTACTGTTATTTGCTTTATCTATTTGTTGTTAAAAATGTGTTATACTCTATGTGAGATCTGTATATGCTGGATCAATATTTCTTTTTTTGGTAGGATAATGGTGGTGTCCGGGCCAACTTTGGCCACGATATACCTGTTAACTCCGACCAGTACATGTGTCGGATAACTTTGTCCACCAAAGCTTAGGTAAATGGGAAGAAATCACCTAGTGATTTTTGCCTACTCCATTGACCACTAGGCCACACCCTTGATTGTGGGATTAGTTATCATCGAGATTAATAATGAAATGAAACGTTTTTTTACATTTGATGTTCATTACTTTGATGTAGACATGTAGTACTGGAAAATGGCAATGAATATATATGTCAGCATTGACAGTCTTCAAATTTTAGTGGTGGACCTCTGAAATTTTGGACTGGTTTGAAAGGATTGACTAATGGAGAATGATAGTAACTTGTTAGATCAGATTAGTAACTTATAGCAATTCTTCTTCTTTTGTTCAATTTTCGGTGTTTTCAAATCAGATCTTCCCTTTAAATTCTACCAAATCAAAGAGAAGTTCTCAAGCAGTGTCTATTAGTATGCCTAATTGAAGAATCATGGTATATGTTAGTTGTTATTCTTTTCTATAGCTAGGACTTCTCCAAATTTAATTGTTTTTTCTCATATCTTCTATCTAAAAGCTCCAAATACAAATGCCTTTTATCAATGCCGTACCATATGTTTTCATATGAATATATGCAAAGAATATGGAACTCCTTTAACTGAATTTGCTTGGGTGTATTATCTGGGTATAGTTAGCAGGATTTAAGCGTGGTGCTATAAGATTTTCTCCATTGAGTTAATCACTGCCAAAAGATGTATGACTTCATATTCCCTCGTCATGTTTAATTGAGATATCATGCTTGAGCTGGAGGGTACCTTCAATTCATAACCAAGAGTATCCTTCACCCAGGAACCTTGGTGATGACAAGGCTTCTTGGAAAATGAATTTAATACCTTGGTGATGACAAGGCTTCTTGGAAAATGAATTTAATGGAAATCAGGTACCATAGTCCTTCAGTTAAAAATGAATACAGAAAAAATCGTACCGATTAAAAATTTGAATTATGTTATGCTCTGAGTGGTGATATAGTTTAGTGATCATATTGGATTTCCTTATATCAATTGATTTTGTCGATTTTGTTCACTCGTATGCTAAATTTTTAGATGGAATTCCATGTGATAATTGGTTTCTACCATGACATGTTTGGTCCCTTTGACTTAATGGTATATTCCGGGAGGTGTTTATTCTTGGACCATGTGAAAGTAGAAAAGTATGTAATATAAAACTCAGAAGGGTTGGTAGTGGGTGCAAGAAATAATGTCTCCTCCTGCAAAAGGGGGTGAACTGGCAGACAATGTTTAGTGACCCCATTTGATAAAACCGCTCTCTCTTTTTCTACTGATCAAGAGAACAAAGAGGAAAAAACCTGTTAAAGAAAGGAAAGGGAAAAGCAGAAAAGGGAGGGAATGGAAAAAGGTTAAGTAATATACTAATGTTTGAATATGATCCGTCAGCGTATTGACTGTTTGGTTCAAATTCCTTTGCAGTTGTCAAGGATTTGAAGTATGCAGACTCTCACGAATGGGTCAAAGTTGATGGTAGCTCTGCCACAATAGGCATCACAGATCATGCTCAGGATCATTTGGGTGATGTTGTGTATGTTGAATTACCAGAAGTGGGGGCTTCTGTTACTCAATCTGGCAGTTTTGGTGCTGTTGAAAGTGTTAAGGCCACCAGTGATATCAATTCTCCAGTGTCAGGAAAGGTGGTCGAAGTTAACGAGAAGCTCAATGACACTCCTGGTCTGGTGAGTATCCGAGTTCTCTAGATTATTTTCTTTCATTGAGGTATAGCTTTTAATAGAAAATATAGAGAACTTCTAGTACTTTTTATTTTTATTTTTGTTTTGTATAATGTTGGCTGAATTTTTAAATGGAGAAACATGTTCAACGAGGACCCATATAGCCGAACCCGACTTGTTTGGGACTCGGGCATAATTGTTGTTGATGTTGAAGTATAGCCTTAGAGGTTGAAGTAAAGTGCTGAAACCGGACATTCTTGCAAAATTAGTTATTGAGAATTGAGTGGAGTTTTTGGTGTTTATTCTGTGGCATATGCCAAGCTAGTAAATTGGAAGAATTATTTACACATATCAACAGCTGAGGTATCCGAAACGACTGTCTGAGTCATCAGTCCATATGGATTAATTGTTGATGTTTAGAGATATTCGTCAAACGCTACCTTGCAGAATTTTGGTAAAACTCCAGGATATTTGCATTTCTAAAAATATAAGAGTTGGATCAACTCATAAGGATTATTATCATTGTCAGGAAAAATATCATAAGCTAGTGGTATATCTGAGTTAGCTTGAATCTGTTGTGAAATTGTCGAGCAGATTCTTTAGCAAACAAATAAATTTTACAACTGTCCCATGAGGTTTTGATTTAAACTTATGTTTCTGCCTGATTCACACAGGCCTCAAGTCTCTGGACCAATTGTTACTTGCTAGATTATTCAGGTTCAAGCCCCCACACCATGGTGTCCTTTAAGAAGTGGATGCCAAACGAAGGTGTCCTTTCCTCCCATCTGCCTAAGATTTGTTGGGCAGAGTTACCCAGTACTTGTGCCGGTGGAAGGTAGTAGGTACCTGATGGAATAGTCGATAAGCGCACAAGCTAACCCGGACACCACGTTATCCAAAAAAAAAAATGGGATGTCAGATGAAGGTGTCCTTTTAACTAGAGAGATAGGATATAGATTGTTTTCTTGGATTTTGTTTATCTAAGAACATGTAGCTTTCTTGTTACCAAGAGATGGTAAGTGGTTGAGGCATGAAATGACCGATGGCTTACAAGTACAAGTACCGTGAGGGAAAGGTGAAAAGAACCCTATTTAGGGAGTGCAATAGAGAATCTGATATCCGATGCGAACAATCAGTCGAAGGAGCGGAGCTTAGAGCCTTTACTTTATGTAAAGCGCTTGTCGGTTGGACAGTCTGCCCACTTGGTGGATTAGTTGAGGTGCATGCAAAGTTGGTTCGTTCACTAGTAATATCACAGACAATAGGAAAAGAAAGAAAAAAAGTGTAGCTTCCTTAACCATTTTGGAGCCAACAAAATTGATTGGTGAGACTTAGCTGATTAAATATCACATCTCGAGGCTAATTTCTTATACTCCTTTGGAGTACTAACTGAATAGTTTGCTATCAAGTGCTCTTTCAGTTTTTAACACTTAATAGTATGATGTTGGTTTTCTCGTGTCATCTTTTCATTCTTTTAGTTCTTTTTCATCGTATGTATGACAATCTTCTTACCAAAACTTAGGTTAATGAAAGCCCGTATCAAGATGGATGGATCATAAAGGTGGAGATTAACAATAACGACGAGCTCAAATCCTTGATGGACCATGACCAGTATTCCAAGTTCTGCGAAGAAGAAGACGCAAAACATTGATTGAAGCCTGATGGAGTTGAGAAAGAAACATTTTTCTTGCAGGATTTGTTTTGTGCATTGTGAGGCTAATTCCCAATTCCAGGGAACTGAAAAATTCAACAAGTGATTTCTTAGGTGTTTAGTTCAACATGCTGCATTCTCTTTCTTTTGGCAAATATTTAAAGCTTTGGATATTGAATTTCTTCTAGTTTAACAGAATAATTTGCTTTTTTTTCCTTCTGGATTTGCATTTAATTCCCTTTGTTTTCATTTGATATTCATCAACATTGACATTGTTTTACATTAATATGCATGTTCCTTAAAACAAACTAGGCAGAATGTTAATTTTGATCTGTTCAGTTCTCTATAGGGATTTCTTTGTAAAGATTGGAATAAAACTATAGACTAAAGCGTTCGCAATCGCAAAGACTGCAGCAGCGGTATTTCTTTTGGTGGCTAATACAGATAATTATATTAAATTAGGAAAGCAGAGACAAACCCAATTGCCATCAGCAAAATGTGCAATGCTTTAATATATCAAACTAAACAATCTATTATTACTATATTAAAAGCACGAAGGCTCTTAGCGAAATGTCGTTCGCTTTTTTTATCCTTTATAGATAAGAAATATGTCAGCATAACTAATATCAGCATTATTGATACACCCTATTCAATATTATTCTTATGCACCCTATCAAACGATCCCTAAGATTTGATGATATTGTGTAAGGAATTTAAATGTGATTTTTAAGTTCTTTTAAAATTCGTGTTTTGATGGTTTTGAAACAATAATTGTTTCAGAATAACACAATTAAAAAAGCAAATAACCAATTTTTAGAAATTTATTTGAGTTATAAAAACTTTAGAAAAATCAATTTCCATACTAGGAAATTGGGGTACGGAGCATCTTGCAATGGAGGCACGCCTATGAGAAGCTATTCGGGTCGTTTGGTTCTCATATTAATTACTATAAGTTAGTGGGACTATAATGTTCGTTCTCTTCTTTTTTAACTTGATAGTATGCGCTATTATATCTTTCTTATATGCAAGATAGTTCCTAAACTAATTTCTTTTATTGTTGTAATAGGAGGAGACTTGAGGAGAAAGATGTGAATATATTAATTAATGGAGAAGGTGTAATTTGTGGCATCAACCGAAGATTATGGTTGAGAAAATTAGAAGGAATAATATCAACTAATGCTGTGTTTTTAAACAACAAAGTAATGCACTCTTATCGTACTTTAAATAATTTTGAGATTCGTTGTCTTAGATGGGAGCCATATAATTTATTTTCTTCATTACATAAAGACCAAACATATGCTTACCTACGTCCTTCGGCTACATATCCTGCACAAATGATTAGGTAAAATAATTTTACTAACAATCTACTTGATTATTCTTTTATTAAATAATCAAATAGTAAATTTTTTATTCGGACAATGTCAATCAAACCATGCTCATTGATTATTTCAGAACGTGTTTAGTAGACGACAAAGCACATATACCTATACAAAGCATTCACGTAGTATTATGTTTGGAATTCTCAACCGACAATATAAAATAGAAAAAAAATTCGTAATTAGTTGAATCGCTACATTTTACATTTTCCCGCATCGTTTGCATGAAAATAATTTTTTTTTGTACATAATATTTTTAAAAAGATTTAATTTGGAATTATTTCATAAATAATTGACTTAAGAATCTTGGGCAAAGCACGAACGTAGAAACTAGTTATTATAAAAGCACGAATATTGAAATGCTAAATATTGATTGACCAAAATATCCTCGAAATATTTACTGACTTTTATACCCTTTGAAAGCTAAATTATTCCTACAAAAAATAATTTTATGTTAGATAGAATTGTAATTCTAACTTTGTGTGATACAAATTTTTTGGACCTCTAATCATACTCAATTTCCAACTTTTAGTCGTTTGAGCTATTGTTGAAATTCTAAAGCCAGAGTTGAGAAGGAGAAGAAAAATTATATATATTCTCCGGCAGTGAGAATTTTCATTAAGGGGTATCAAAATATATAAAAGTAAATATCCCACAAAATTAAGGGGAGCCAATACATAATATATATAAATATAATTTTTTTTTACCTACTTATACAATGTATTTTTCCTGCGACACCCCTTCCTATAAGGTGACTCCACCACTGTTCCCCGGTAGATAGCCTCTTTATATCGTTCCCATTACTAAGAATAGGAAATTTATTTTTTTATGGCGCTTTCTTTTTGCATCAACTAAGATAGTGCAATTGTTTGTTACTATGATTCAGTCATCTGTCTTCGTCTCCTGCATTGAAGCTCCATGTATTTTTATACCACGAAAAATTTAATAGGTTTGGAGAACTTTCGTGAATATAATTGGTGAAATAAAATTAAGAGTCAAAATAGCCTTTGGAACTTTCATGGAAGCAAAGTACTTCGGAGGAAGCTAAACTCCTTTAAATCTAAGAATACGAAACAATGAAAATTAAAACCTAAGAATAAGAGACAATGAAAATTAAAATCACATGCAATCTAACTTCCACCGATGAAATTAAAATAACAGCTTCCAGGATGAAAGTCATCCTCGTATCTGTACCATAGGATATCATTGTTATTTAAAACATAAGGAAACCCGACGTCAGACTTCTGTACAAGTAAATCAAATGACAATAATATGGAACGACAAAAGCCAACCTTAGAATTCTGTACAAGTAAATTAAATGACAAGCCTACAAATTAAGGGTAAAAATGTAAATATATAAATTCTTAATGGGGTAGCGGTTTATCCGATAAGAAAATTGAGTAATCCGTTTCGAAATTGATAAACCGTTAATTATAAAATTTCAATCCATTCACCAACCATTACTCTAAAAATCCGATACCAATAAGCCAATAAACCAATTTTACAGTTTAATTAACGGTTATGATTTGGTTTTGAACAAACCTACTTGGATTTCTTATGGCAATCAAAGATACTCGAAAATTGGTAGTATTGGAAAAAGCATGAATATAATATTGCTAGACCAAAATAGCCTTAAAATATTAAATACAACTCAAAAGGAAAGGACATAATTGGAATAGTACATGTTAGGACGAAACCTTCTTAAACCCAAAAAACTAAAAGAATATTTTGGATTTTTTTGAATATTTCGAATTTCAAATTCATTAAAAAAACTGCACGATAGGTTGAAAAAAATAAATAATATTCTGCATGTTTATGTTCGAAAGTATCCAAAAAAGAAAAGGTATCCGTCAGATTTCCCAATAGAAATTAGAACTTTAAATTAGAAAAGGATTTGGCTACCCTTCACAAGTCAATGTTGATTCCCATCAAAGTTAAATATTGCAAGGAGCTGGGTTTTCTAAAATTTGCTTGAAACAAGAACATATATATCTGGTAATATGTATAAACTTTGACATATATTACCAGCAAATCTTCAAATTTAATAAATTAGATTATTGGCATTAGAATATGGATATGACTTCATAAACGTAAAGAAATTTTGTGCCTACATTCATCTGGCAAGTTGAACCTTAAAAGAAGTTCTACATATGTATCACATTGAAAATATATGATATATTTTCTCTTCTTTTTTTCTAAGTATATTAGCCAAGCAGAAGGTGTATTAGAAGAGTATAAGGTTTAAAAAAAGTTCCTCATAGATTGATAACATCTGAGATGAAATGAATTTATCAACACTCAATTGTCACTATTTCGGTCATTCAAAAATTCTCGATCATTTGAATCTCTTTTCGCCACAGGGATTTTAAAGTATGTGTCTTTCTTTAGTGAACTTCTCTAAGGTATATGCCGTTTACATTCTAAATTTAAATATAAGTATACTACTACCAAGATCGATAATTTTCTTACATTTTATCATAATATCATGCAAAAGTTGCATTGTTTATTCATTTGCTATTCTATAACTCAAAACAATTTTTTTTATAATGTATGAGTTTATAAATTTAATTTATCGTTCTTGCATACAAAAAAAGAATAAGGATATACTTGCAAAACAGGTGCATAAAAACTAATTTAATTAAAAAGGGCAGTAGTTATGTGGTAATTATTTTCTTTACAAGCAATCAAATATTATAATATCTATAAAAAATTTATATTACAATTAATTATTTCAATACTATTGCAAGAGTGAAGAGCAAGTAAAAGGTAAAGAAATTAATAGAAATGCAATCTTTAAAGCAATTTATTATCAACCATAGTTTTCATCACTTTAACCTTCTCTCTACATCTATATATAAATATAAAAGTGGGAATTTGCAAGATAATGTGGCAGTCCGCTAAAGCCAACATTCTTATTTATCTTTTTTCTTGTTTTTTTGGACTTTCATCCTAATTTTAGTACAATTTTCATTATTAAAATACTTTTCCTACATAATTACTGTTATGAGTTTAAAAAAACGGAAGAGGAGGAAATTTTGGAATTGAATTACATCTTTCATTATATACATTAATTATGAATATTAAATAAGGAAGAGGAAGGGATTCAATTTAATTGGACAAATAAGGAGCTTTAATGACTTAAAGAAGAAAATGTGTAAAATAAAGCTGATGAGTAAGTATTAGCATTCTAATGAGAAACGGTTTCTGCCCACTCTTCTTATTTTTCTTCACAAATCCAATGAAAGCTCTTCATTTCATTTTCCAATCGTTATTAGAAGTAATTGTCACACCTCCTTTTTTCGCCCCCGCGAGGGTACAAGGAGTTTTTTTCAATTAAAGGACAATCGAAACGGGATTTGTTTA